ACATATTTGCGTCCCTCTCACCTAAGGGTGAGTCCTGTGGTCTATTTTAACAAACAGTGATTGTGCTGCTCAATCTAGTTTGAACACTCACAGCCACAACTGGTCCAATTTCAGTTGTAAACAGTTAAACACACACACACACACACACACACACACACACACACACAAAAGTATGTGAGGGGGTAGGTATGTTAATTAGCTTTATTTGATCATAGTCAATGTAATATATGAAAACATCTTATACTCATAAATATATATTTTTATTGGCCAATAATGCATTCATAAACTTAGGGGAAACAAAGAATAGAAAAAATAATTTTGAAGAGGTGAAAGTTGCCAGTGGGAAGAGAATTGGAACTAAAGCACAATACAGCCCCTATTGGAAGGCGAACTGGATAGCTTGGTATGTCCCGTTCATGAAAAGTGAAGATTAAAACCTTTAGCTCAACCAAGCACTAAACTGTGCTCCTTTCCACAGGTATCCGTCAGGACATGAACTTGGGCAGGAATGTGGAAAACTTCCCTGCAAGCCCTGGAACATGCTTCCCAAGTCTCTGCTGAACTGGCTGCTCCAAGGCAGAGCACTGGTCTCATCACTGCTGTTCAGCAAAAAGAGAGACAAGAAAGATGGCACTTGTACACAGCCCAACTATCAATGAACACCAATGGAGGAGGAAGGATGGTACCTCCAACTTTTAAAAATCTCTATTTCTAATGGATGTCTGTTGGTTAATATGTTTTCTTTCTTTTATTTTTAAAATAAATTAATTTTTTAAAAATTTTAAAAAATAAAAATCTCTGTTTGTAAACCTGAGTGTCAAATTCTTATTTTTAGCTATACCATCTGGCATTACTGACAACTGACACAAGTAGTGCTTGTCACCAATGTCAGTCCTCAATGTTCGTAAGATGGACTTAAAAGTAGAAATCTAAATCATGGGAACTTGTTTTGAAGATGCACTTCAGTAGCAATCTTGCTTTTTGGGATCTACAGATGAATTTTATTTGGGATGGGATTCCAAGCACTGATAGGGAATAAGTAGGATCTAAGTCTACTCAAATGACCCCCTGCTGTTGTCACTGGGGGCACCAATCTCCAAGCAATTGTACATAATAGTTTGCACCTGGATTCAATCAGACCATAGGCTCTATTTCTCTGTGTCAGTGTCTCCTTGTCTATAAGAGTGAAAGCATTTTGGGGAACAGGAAGCCAGGGGGAAACAGAGACATACATACACTTTTTTGAAAAATACCTACGATTTATAAATCTTTCCTACCTTTGGGAATGGAAAGAGGAATTTAACTTTAGAGATGATTGTCATTTTGATCTAGAAAGACCTCTCTGAAGGAAAATCTTATGTAAATATTAAACAAGTATGCACTCTTTGCCCCAGGGGTGGCTTGTATATATTTGCCTCTACCTACTAGCAGGGGGCCAGAAAAGATTTGTGGGAAAACTAGAATTAAGTATCTCCATGCTTACTTTTAAGGATCAACTTTGTTAGAACGTATTTCAGAAAAACTCTGGTAGTTCCAACTGAGACTAGACATCAGAAAAGGTCCACAGAAGCCACTGAGAGGTGACTTCACTAGGAAGAAGAGATTTGGCTTCCTCGTTATCCTCATTACTTTCTTACTGCTGAGACACAATACCCAACACTGGCAATTTAAAGCCCAACGTTACAGTCCACAGCCAGCTAACTCCAAGGCAGAAATGGCATGCTGGAAGGTTCTAGAAGAAGGAAGCTGCTCACATCCTGGTGGCCAGGAAGCAGAAAGAGAAGAGAGGAGCCCAGGAGGGAGATGCGCCCCAGTGACCCACCACCACCTAGGCGAACATCCTAACAGCAAGTCAGCAGTAGCACCTCCATAATTCAATCAACTGCCAAAACTCCTACCTCTGAGTCCTGACACTCTTGCGGGACATTTTTATCTATACCGTAACAATGGTGTAGACACATAACCTCACTGAGTTCAGAAAACTCAGAAAGTCTGCCCTCAGCATGAGATCCCATTTTCCTGGCAGGTTACAGAAGGCGGAACAAAATCAGAACTGACGCGCTTCAGCTATTGTCAGTAAGTCTTGGGGTCCTTAGGAATAGTTAGAGAAAAGAATCTCCCCAAAAGGGACTTCTTGGTAGCATGGCTATTATCACCCCAATTTGGATCTTGTGGTAATAAAGGCTGATGACAGTATTTCAGGGTCCCAGACTCCAAAGGCCCTAGAACTATGAACAACCAGGAGAGAGAGAGGGGATTACCCAAAGCCATCATTTGTCCTGTGTCACTCAATAGCACAGAGGAGTGATCATTCAGTGGCACAGAGGATCCCTCAGAGGAGCTGTGAGAAGCTAGATAATGCCAACACAGAGGAACCGTGTGCTCCTGAGCAAACAAAACCCTCTGTAACTGAGAGATATAGGACATCAGCAAGCATATCCACAGATGCCCCAATGGATTTCCAGTCCCACTTGGAGACTTTTAACCTCAACTGCTAAAAAGAGTTCACATATTTGTACTTACTATGTTCTCCCTACTACACCAAATGTTACAAGGAACCCAGAATAAATTTTGAACTGAAAAGTTTATAATTTAACCTCTTTCTGGAACCAAGACATTGAAATATGGTACACACAGACATCAGGGTATCTAAAATGTTCTGGATTTCAAGTCAGAGAGAAGAAGCCAACACTTCCACCTCAGGAGAGTGGGGAGACTATGCTCCTTGATAGCAAAAAGAGTTCGTAGGTCCTGAGAGGTCTGATCATGGACACACCCCCGAGCAAACATACAGGGATATAATGGGCTTTTTTTCCTAGGTCACTGACATTGGAAATCACCAATTCTCAGATTACATTTTACTCCTTAGAGGACGTAGGTGTTGGCTGGGCTACAAATAAATAACACACTCCTATCAGCATTATTTAATATCCAACTATATTTCATTTTTTCTTTGAAAACCAAAAGACATACAGAAAAAGAGCAGCATTATTACAAAGGGAACCTTAGTACTGCTGTAATTTATTAACTGGTAAGTAAACTGGTCCCACAATTGAGTAATTTCCTTATAATAATTTATGCAGAACAAACTTCACAACTGGAAATTCCATGAGAAGATGTTTACAATCTAATATTATTGTTGAAATCCATCATCTTTGACACAAAAGATGGCTCTGGAATAGCACACAGCTGTATTAGGACACCAACAAACGAATATCCAGTGCCAGTGGATTTGTAGCCCCAACTACAAAAGGGCTGATGTACTTGTACTCGCTGTGTCCTTCCTACTGTGCTAAGTGATACAAGTAATCAGAAATAAATTGACCTTTACAATTTATAATTTCATCTCCTTCAGGAACCAAGACATTGATGCATGTTACAATTAGCAGATCAAATGAAGGCCCATCAATCAGTACATTCTCTCTATTAAAAAACATGACGGCAATGTAAAGGTGATAGCTTGGTCATAGAGATGGGCACGCAAATAAGGTGGTTTTCCTGTGACAGTCACTTTCTGGATGTTCATTGAAGATGATGAGCCTGGTTAGTGGTGAAAGAGTGAATTATAAGAGCACTGCATGTGAAGAGATTGGCTACAAGGTGAAAAGACATAAACCAAGAAAGCCACTCAAAGTCCCCTCCTCCAGTCCCTTGGAGAGATTTACCGATGGGTAGGATGTGGCTCTCTCTATGAGTGAGCTCTATTTTATTCAAAACGTCACAATGCAATAACCAAACCCTTTCTAGGAATAAGAAAAGCACATCTGCCTGAATTGTTATCGCACCAATGTAGTCATGATGTTGTTTGAAAAATTGAACCCCTCCCCATCAGTCCTTTTCAGAACTCATTTATAATTTAGTCTTTGCTAAGAATCTTTTCACTATGAAATGGATTTTACCTAGCATTTACACACATCACGTAGATGCAAAAGAGAACACAGGTTTTTCAAAGACATTCCATGGACTCCAACTATTTTCTGGAGTAAAGACTGCATATTCTGTTAGCTATGTGAAAAAAGTAAGAGAAGTAAAATTACATACTGAAAAAAGTAAGAGAAGTAAAATTAATGAACAGGAAGAAAGGAGAAAGGGAAGGCAAAATGAAGAAATGATTAGATCTTAAATTCTGATACCAGTAGTACCATATGTTTCAAGGCCCATTCAGGAAAATTATCTGCCTGTTTTGGTCACATCCATACCCAGATTGACTTCTATTTAATATGGGTGAAAAGACAAGAGACAAGTTATAATGAAAATTGAGTATAAACCAAGTACAGGGGTACATAACTGCATTCCCAGCACTCTGTGAGGCTTAGGCCAGAGGAGCAAGTGTCTGAGTCCTCTGTGGGCAACTTAGGGCAACTGTGTCTCAAAATAAAAAAGGGCTGGGGATGTAGCTCAGGGCAAAGGTCCTGAGTTCAGTCCCCAACAGCACAGAAAAAATGGGAGAAAGAAAATGGAGTACAATAAAATAAAAGGAGTTTGTGCAGAGGGACACAAGACTAAACAAGAACAGAGTAGACAGCACCTGCAAAACAACACCAAAAGATTCTCACTGCCTTTCAGTCAGCAGTAGCTCTTGCATCTTTCAAAACCAGGAAACTTCCCCAACAAAGACTCCAAAGACACGCGGCTGGAGCTATCCCACCACATACTTCTTCTCTGTGCACTTATATGAATGTGTCATCCTCATTGGAAGCAAAAGACTTGTTAATCCGATTCAAATTACTAATATCAGTAAGTCCTTTGCCTCAGCATTTAAATGCCAATAACAATCAAATACTAGTAGCAATTTAACTACTGATGTGGTCTTCACTACATTCAGGAAATGCAGCCAGAAGTCCAACTAGCATGGACTCCAACACCCCTTCATCAATTCTAATTTACTCAGCATAAAGGAATGCAGTAATGTGCTGGCCATCCTGACCATGCATCCAAGTTGGTTGAAACAACTCTTCAAACAGATAATGAGAAACAAATTGAGTTTTCATCCACCAAACCTGAAGGATGTCTTCACCAAGGCTTCTGGGCTATCCAGCTGTGGCAATTCATCTGCTAGGATTTCTTCTGGAGGTCGAGGGTCTTGGACAATCGTGGGCCGTGGCTTCTCTTTGACATTCCCTGTGAGCCCATCAATGAAGGAGTTCCACAGACAGTTCTGAGACTTAGAGCCTGAGGATGAGGGGGGAAAGAATGTGCAGGTCGATCAGCAAACTATGCCACATTGTGCCTTCCACTCAAGATGTTCAAAAGCAGAATAGGGAGATTTCTACATTTTTCACCATCTACATTGACATCAGAGGGCTTCAGAAGATACTGGTCAGCAACTTCTGGGATAACCAAAAATATTTGCTTATATAAGCAGAAAATAGGTGGCACTGAGTATCTTGGCTTACAGCTAAACATAATGGAAGCATCCTGTTTCACAGAAGAGCAACCAGCCCAAACTCCTGGTAGAGCCCTGGGTATCTACTGAGATGTTTATTCAGTAGCTGGAAGTACACAAAGCACAACCATTGTATAAAATATGGGAGATGTTCAAACACAAGTTTGCTATGATCTCAGTTTGCCTGAGGTCCAAACCTCAAGACTTCTTCTATGAAGCCCTCACTCCACTTAGAGTTGGAAGAACCTCACCTCTCAGAACTAGAACTCACCATCCTCAGGTTGATTCTTTAGCAGTATCCAAGATCCAGGGGAAACTACACTGCCTGTCTATTGATATCCTGCTCTATGAACACTTCAAGCATGATTGACATGTGAAACACCAACACCAGAAATCATGTCACAAAAGTAGAGCCAGATTATTCAGGTGATCAAGGTCAACAGTGATAACTCCTGTTAAGAGCAGGTACCCCTCTATGATCTGATGGAAATGGCACTTTCTTTTTCCCAACCCCCTCATCAAAACATATAATCCCCCCAACACACAGCATATTTCTAGCTTCTGTAAATCTCATACTTTAACATCTGCCCCATATGCAAATGCCACACACAGGGGCTGGGAATTTAGCTCAGTGCAAAACCCCCGCCCAACAAACCCAAAGGCAGGAAGTCCGGTCCCAAGAACCGAAAAAAAACAAAAAAAATCAAACAAACAAATGCCACACACAGCTAATTCTATTGATCTGTGTTGTTCTCCTGCCTCCCTCTTCACTTACACCGCCAGTTCTCCAGGAGTTCTCCTCCTCCGAGTGCACTTTTCAAATACAGACTGGCCAATCCGGAGTGCACTTCAGCCTCTTCCTTAACAGGATTTCCTTGCTCCTGGCCCCACTCCCTCTGCTCTAATAACTCCAAATCCCTAATCACCCTGGGTACAGATAGCAGACAACTAGGTATTAGAGAGCCCCCATGTTTCAGAGACCACTAATTCACTTAAACCAGCCCAATCCTGATCCTGTTTATCTGGACTCCCCTGCTCCTTCCCATAAAAACCATGACAAAGGCTCTCGCTCACTGTTCCCCTATCATTCTCCTCATCACTGACCAGGTGATTTCGCACGTTATCACCCATGACATGATGGAGAACCCCACACTTGGGATCTACAAGTATCACAGATTATCTTCTCAATGGCAGTGTCTCCTGATCTGTGGGCCTCACCATACCTGAACAATAAGACCTATGAGAAGATCCAGTCTAGTCATTGGGAGAACATCAGACAAATCCCAGCTGAGGAACATCCCTGAAAACACCTCACCAGTACTTTTCAAAATTGTCAATGTCCTTAAGTACAAGGAAAGTCTGACAAACTGTCCCAAATAAGAGGAGCCTAAGGAAACACAATGGTCAAATGTAATGTGGTACGATGAATGGGATCCTGGAATTTAAAAAAGATGTCAGGAAAAATCTAAAGAAACCTGAACAACGTACAGGCTTCAACTAATAGTACTGTATTAATATGGACTCATTAATTGTAAGAAATATGCCATACTTACGTAAAAATCTAATAACACAGGAAAACAAATGTGGGGTATTTGAAAACTTTTTCACAAATCTATTTTGTATTTGAAATCTATTTTACAGTGTATCTGTAAATCTAAACCTGTTCCCAGAAGAAAAGTTGTTATAAAAATAAAATCAATTAAATACAATAAATAAGTTTATTTTTAAAGTCTATGAGGAGAAAAAATTTTCAATAGTCTAAGAGTATTACTATTACTATTACTATTACTATTACCCATTACCGTTGGCTCATTGGCAAATGCATGGGGCAGTGTCCGTCCACAGCAAGGTGGATGGCTTTTTCTGCTATCTATGCCAAGGGGATGCTTCTTCCTCAGTCATGCAAAGGCTCTTTATGGGATGTGAATGCTGCACAGGGAAGAGTAAGAAGCACTGCCTGCTAGTTCACATCATGCACATGACAGGCGAGTGAAGAACAGTTCTGAGTGCACATGGAGACCCCTTTCAAGGCCCAGGGCAGTTACCTGCAGCCCACCACAGAAGACATCACCCCAGCTCTGCCACTGAGATCCGCAGAACTTCACACACAAAGGGGAACAGCTCATGTGCTTCCCCAAGCCTTACCATGGAAACGCATGGATCTGCAAGTGATTCTTTTGATGACCATGCCATGACTGATCCCGCTCTGGAGGGTCCATCTAAATATGTGTGTAAATCATGAGCACATTAGTGGCAGGAAACAGATGCCTCAAACCTCTGAAATTCATGACAGCTTTTTTAAAAGCCTTAACTATATACCCCAATATGCTCTGGCCTTATTAACGAAGGTCTAGTTCAGTGTTAATGAAGATCTCTTATTTGTTAATGCATAGCTTGTTTCAGGAAGAACCAAAGCAGCAGCCTGTTTTCTTAGAGTTGGTCTCAATAAAAACCTTACAATAACCTTTCTGTACATTTCCCTTTGTCCTTCCATTTTTCATTCTATAAACACATACTGAATTCCCTCAATGTGTCAGGTTCCATGCCAGGCCCTAAAATAGAAAGATGAGTGAGCAGGAGGGAATATGAAAGGAGTTAAGAGTCAGTATTGAGTGAGTGCTGTTTATCATTCCTACCATGGTCTTTATTTAAATTGATTGTTGTATCTTTGGAGCTCTGACCTACAAGCAATCACAAAAAAAGTAGGCAATACACCATAACTAAGAGACAGCAGGTGCCCTGGGAGCCAGAGGAGGGTTCACCAAGGAGGGTTCAAAGCAACATGAGAACATGACAAATGATGTGGACCTAAAGCAGGGACAGTGTGTCAGCATCTTCAGCAGGTGAGGAGGAGCAGGAAGATCACGCAATATGAACAGCAAAGTGCAAAGAGAGCTTAGCGTGCAGAGTGCAGGGCCAACTATAAAGTAGCTTGAGTAAAATATTGATTATGTTATAATTCCTCCTGTACCAAAAAAAAGACTAAATGGTGTTTAATCAAGTTTGTAGCAACATCTGTGTTTCAGAACGGAGACTGGTGTGGTGTAGAGCAGTGGCCCTGTCAGAAACAAGGAAGTACATGAAGGGCTCTGAGAATACACAGGAAGCCAGGTGCATGATCTGCAGGTGAAATAACAAAGTCTTACATACACATAACACTAGCTTTTGTCTCTGTACTGGGAACTGAACCCAGGGCCTTGGCATTTGGCTACATCTCCAGCACTTTTTATTATTTGTTTATTTTTTAGTATGTGTGTGGTACTTAATGTTTACATTCCTTGTGGGGAATTGGTACATGCACAAAACACATCGTAATTTTTAAGAATATACAGATATGGTTGGTAAACAACAAACTCATTTAAAAGCACTAATGGATTCATAATAGCTTTTTCACCATTTCCTCAATGAGTAATCAGAGAGATCGTGAGACCCGAGGCACCTCGTCACTGGAGTCCCAAGTGAACATGCCATGATGCCTCCAGAAGTCATACCAGGAACTACAGAAACACAATGGCAAATCTGTGGTATCAACTGTAAATAGGGGGTACTTAACATTCATTCCCAGATCCCCTTTCACTGACCTTCCTCTTCTAAAGAGGCCAGAAAACAATATACTGTATCCCATTTCCCATTCCCCCTTGCTGCTGCAGCTAGCTCTGTGCTGTAACTCTGGCCCAGTGAAACGTAAGCAGAAACTCCTGAGGCTGGTGTCTCTTCCTAATTTAAAAAATGTAAATACTTAATAGGAGAGAAGTAACTTTGCCTCTTTAAATTTTGCCTTTCTTTTTCCCCCTTCTCTTATTCTTCATACTGAAATGTGGATGTAGTGCTATAGCTGCAGCAGCCATCTTGTAGCTATGAGGTGACAAAACCTGTATCTTGTGTATATATAGAACAAGTGGAAAGAACCTATGTCCCTAATAACTGAACAGCTTCCCTGGTCTCCCCCACCTCCAAAATTCTTGATGTGAGACAAATAAACACCTTTTAGGTCTTTGGTTTTTTGGTTGAATGTATTGCTCTAAAAAATAATCTATATAGGAAGCATAATTATTTTGCGTTTTTTTCTCCTGTTAAAATTATTGACTTGTTAAATGAGAACAGTTAAAACAACACAAATCTTATAACTTATCTTGGCATTTCTGTTTTTCTTAATATTGTGGGAGGCTAAAAAAATGGTAATGGCTGAGGTTTCTCTTAACCTGGGAGAACTCTGAGAACAATTATTCCCATGAGGTTGTTCATGACTTCTGCTTTGTTTTGTTTTATAGCTTACAAAGAGGAGGAGGGTGTTTGCTCAAAAAAATGCTGGAAATCAGTGCCATGTTTCAGATCAAAAAACCAGCTGCCAAGGCCTCACATGTTTAGGAGGAGACTGGTTTACGGGGTAGCTGATTTGCTGTTCGGGGGTGGGTCTGGTCCGAGGGAATGGTTCACTGGGGGTGTAGCCTAGAAGGGTTTCTCTCCCTCTAGAGTTCCTCTGTTTGCTCTCTGCTTCCCGTCTGTAATGAGGTAAGAGGCTTTCCTCCGCCCAGGCCCTTCTGCCATACTTTACCACCTTGGAGCCCACCATGTAAGGACTGAAACTTCTAAAACCACAAGTCAAAATAAACCTCTCCTCCTTTAAATTGTGGGAGTTGAGTATTTTGTCCCAGAAACAAAAAACATAAGACAATCAGTGATCCCCAGATAAAGTAGGACTTCAAGAGTCTAAAAAGAGGGTGATTCGCAAGATGGCAAATCGTGAGAAAATGTCTGGTCTAGAAAAGACCAATGACATTGAAGA